AAAAAAAAAAAAAAAAAAATATAGAGAACAAGAAAACTATTATGCAACTATGAACTGCTCGCCGGACCAAGGTCCACCGTCCCTGGGCTTGAAGGGTTAAATGGAGGAAGCGCCACCACAGGCGGCGGAGAGAACGAAGCTACCGGCGGAGATGAGTCCTGGACGGTGGGGCCCGGCGGCGGAGGAGCTGGGCTCGGGTTAGTGGCGGAGTGAGGTGCAAAGGTGGACGGAGGAGTTGGATCAGAGGTGGGCCCAGGCAGAACCACTATCGGGACGTCGCCGGAGCAAGAAGGGCAAGGGCATTTTGGGGAATTCGGTTGGCGCCGGAGATAGACGAAACCCATTGCAAGGCCGGTGGCCACAAGAAGTGTGAGTATGAAGAAGAAGATCTTGGTTGCTTTTCCCACGTAACACATTTTTGTTCTTTTTCCTTTTGGCTCACCTAAGAGGTAAGATTAGTAATATATTATGAGGCTTTAGTAATTTTGTAGAGACTGATTAATAATAGTATTAAGATTTCTCCATAGAGAGGCTGTAAAAAGTTGAGGAAATTATGGTAATAATTAAACAGTGACTTGATTAATGATTTTGTAACCAAGTAGCAAATATAAGGGAAAATAATTGTGAGCAACCTGAACTATACGTGATTTTGGGCTTTGCAATTTAAAGCATTTTTTTTTTTTTGGTAAAATGCAACCTGAACTACATGCACAATCACTATTTGCACCCTCGACCAAATCTTGACCGCCCGATGAATAACAAAAAAGGACACGTGTATGGTCAATATGTGGTCGATGGTGCAAATAGTGATTGTGTATGTAGTTCAGGTTGTATTTTACCAAAAAAAAAAAAAAATTTAAGTTGCAAATCCCAAAATCACATATAGTTCATGTTGCTCACAATTATTTTCCCCAAATATAAATATGAAAAATAGTCATCACTTTTTATGAAAATATATGATATAGCAACTATTTTGTCATGTGTGTAATGACATAATTATTCTTAAGACCAGAAACCATTTCTAGTAGCCGTCTCCTATAATCCCAAATTCTAGAAACAGTTTCTACCGAACCCTAGATTTTTAAGAAATGGTTTCTGGTCGTAAAGATAATTGTGTCATTGCACAATGCAAAATGACTATTATTCAATGCTTACAAAAAAAATGGCTATTTTTAATCTTTGAATTTGCAACAAGGCTTAAAAACCCATATTAACGCGGTAATAAATGTATATGAAGGAACACATTCACATACGATGTGCACATTGTTGCAATTGTAGAATAGTACTACATTAACTAAACAAATGGCGTTTTGGATTTTTGTACATATTTTTCCATTATTACCTTCACCTAGCTAATAAATACACTATATTTTTTCATATTCACTCTTCATCTTTTTTCCAAAAACATTCATACTTTATCCTCATTAACGAGGGTTATTATTGACAAAAAAAATATATTTTTAATTAATGTGCAACTTCTCAGAACGACACTTATAAAAAAAATACGAGGGAGTAGTAGATTTTAAAGGACTTCTTAAATGATTAGATTTCAAGAGTCAGTTTGAATTTTTTCAAAATAATTATTGAAACATGAATTTAAAATCCCCTATTTGTTATTATCGTTCAAATATTTATGGGGATTTAAACTTAAAAATTTAAAATTCATAAATTGTAAATTCCCAATAAATCTCTTAAGCCAAACTATTCGCTTGTATTTCACTATCTTTCATGATTTGAATTAGAAAAAAGGATAAATTATATACTAGTATATACTACAATGTTGAAAATATTTCGTATAAACAAACCTTTTTAAAAATATCGCACATATAGAAAAAAAGATATACTTTTAATGTAAATTTATTGATTATAGTTTCTTTTAAGTTTATGTCTAATTTATTTGTAATTTATAAAAAAAATTATATCATCAGATTTCATTACGTTAGATGGCTGAAAATATTATTATTGTTCATATAACAAATATAAAAGTAAAATAGACGTAAAATAAACATTGCTTCGGAAAAAGATTCAAACTTTTCACTATTTGATCAAATCGAATCCAGGGCCCGAATTCAGACCCAAAATCACGGCCATGGCTCTTCAAGCTCAGATCGAAGCTTATCGACCTCGTGAACCATCGCCACCATGTGCTTCTCCATAGCTCAACCAATCTAGAAGTTAGTCGCGTGCATCTCACGCTCGCGCTTGATCGCCCTCCCGTCCTCGATGGTGCTCTGCGTCAATCTTGGACTTGAGCTCCTGCGCTCGTCGCAGTTCAGACTCGGCCGATGAGATATCTTCCCCGATTCCCCTTAGATTTTCCAGTCGTCCCTTGTGCTCGGCCAAGAGCTCATTGAATGAGAAGCTTCTCATATTAAACCCATATGAAGCCCAAATGAGGTTCCATCCCAAAACCAATTGGTGAAAGGAGGAGTAGCCTATTAGACTTATAAGGTGGGTCTATTTTCTATGTGTGAACGATGTGGGACAACTCACAAGTGATATTCTAACACGCCCCCTCACTTGTGAGTCCTGATATCATGTCTCTAACCCAGGCACAAAGTGGGCTCTGATATCATGTCTCTAACCCAGACACAAAGTTGGTCGGGCTCTGATATCATGTCTCTAACCCAGGCACAAAGTGGGCTCTGATATCATGTCTCAAACATGTCTCTGATACCATGTAAGAAACTGGGGGAAAAGAAAAGCCCATATGAAGCCCAAATGAGGTTCTATCCCAAAACCAATTGGTGGAAGGAGGAGTAGCCCATTAGACTTATAAGGTGGGTCTATTTTCTATGTGTGAACGATGTGGGACAACTCACAAGTGATATTCTAACACGCCCCTTCACTTGTGAGTCCTGATATCATGTCTCTAACACAGACACAAACTAACCCAGGCACAAAGTGGGCTCTGATGCCATGTAAGAAACTGGGGGAAAACTGGGGGAAAAGGAAAGCCCATATGAAGCCCAAATGAGGTTCCAACCCAAAACCAATTGGTGGAAGGAGGAGTAGCCCATTAGACTTATAAGATGGGTCTATTTTCTATGTGTGAACGATGTGGGACAACTCACAAGTGATATTCTAACATTTTCTAGTCGTATGAGGTAGATGTCCGTGGGGGTGAGGCGACATATGGGTCATGGAGTAGAGGGGCTACGTCAATTTGCTCTATGGGCTTAGAAGCTAGGATTCTTTAAATAGGTTATAGATGGTTGTATATAATTGTAAATAAAAATTAAAATTTTGATATAATAACAAATAAGAATTAGAATTAATATATGTGCAATAATCCTTGTGGTCCTACCCGTCTCGATTCAAGATTAGTCGGTTCCCCTGTGAATTCGGAAACCGGAAGGTCCCTGCACAAAAAAATATATGTGCAATAATTTATGTAAAGCTACGTAGTAAAACAGTCATTTAAAACAGAACAAACAAAAAAACACAAGAACTCATAAGCTAACCCAATTCCAATTAGTTTGAGTTTGACCGCCGAAGCTGACGGGCTCGAAACTACACGAGGGCAGCCCAAATTATGAAACCCATAAAATACTGCTCGGGAAAAGAACCCAGCTTTGAGGGGATTCCAGATTAATAGACTATTTATATGTTTTGTCTTCTACAATTAAGTATTTACTAGTATACACGGGTGTATCAAAAAAATAATTTTTAACAAAAAAATAAAAGAGTTTAATCATTGTAAGTATATACAATAAATAAATAGAAGTTTCATAAAAAAAAAAAAAAAAAAAATTAATGTACGTTGGCATTTCATTTCAAGTTCTTAAAAAAAAAATTGTGTATAACATTATTAGTTTTCCATACAATTTTTTCATTCTTGTCGCAACAACAAATTTCATGCTTTGTCTGTTTTTAACTTTAGATATGTCAACATAAAATTGTCCATGACTGAAAATAGGTTTTGGTACATGCAGACCAACATCAAATAATATTTTGTCGATGACTCTTATTAGTATTTATCGCGAAGCATACTATAACTGAGAATTAATGTCTAAATAAATAGTTTGAAAAAAAAAACTTGCAATAGAATTCTTGATAATTAGCTTTCTTATATTGATAATTAGTTTTTATTAAAAAACTTGCAATAGAATTCTTGATAATTAACTTTCTTATATTGACAATTAGTTTGTATTATTAATAATATAATAGTTACAAAAATATGAGTACCCTTAAATTGATATAAAATTTTACAGTTACTTTTTTAAGTAACTGAAAAATGAGCGAGAAAATTTTATTTATTTATAATATGCACGTAAATTATTTTCTTATAATATGTAGTATAAAAATTTTTATAGTACATAAAATTTTATCATATGTACTATAAAAAAATTTATAGTACATATAATGTTGAGAAAATTTTATTTATTTGTAATATGCACGTAAATTATTTATTTATAATATGTGCGCTCATTTATAAAAATGAGCGTAAATTATTTTTTTATAATATGTACTAATTTATTCGTTTGTTTGTAGTTTATCTGATCAATTACCATCAATTAATATTTTATTATTTTTATGTGACACAAGTTATAATAATTATATTTTATTTTATATTCATATACATCTAAATTCATAATTTTTGAAAATATTTTTTTAAAAAAATACACTTTTTCGCCTTATTTTTTGAACACAATTTTTTAATATAATATCATTTTCAATAAGCTTTTATCATATGGCGTAAAACCGCGTAATAAAAATAGAGGCGGAGTCTTTTTAAGGGGAGATTTTACGGTCTCGTTATGAAATCATTCCGTCGGGATTTGTAACTATTAGATCAAGTATCTATGACAGTTCCATAATGGTCTAATAGTTTCAAATTCTCGACAAAATGGTTCCGTAACGGATGTAGTATATTGAAGTCAATATCATCAGCAGCAAAAAGAGAGAAGGAAAATACGAAAGAAAGAAATAAAAAGAAGAAAAGTAGATATTAATCCCTTTGGAATCTAAACTCTAAAATCGAATAACACTTGAAATGTGTCACCGCGTATCTATAAAACCTAATCACAAAGAGTACCAAATTTCTCATCTTTTTTCAATTTTTTTTTTTGTCACCAAATATTCATCTCCGGCGACGGCAACGAAGGTGGCGATTTTTCAAATCGGTTTGAAGTCAGTATCTGTGTTGAATTTAACTTCCCATTGCTTGCAATCAGTTTTTTATCATCTGGGCTGTCGTCGAAATCAATTTTTGAGCTGCAAATTGTCATTTTTTTGGTGAATTGTTCGTTTGCTAGAGTTGAAACTGTCATATATTTGTTTCTCGCTGATATAATTCTGAACATTTATGCCTGTAATTAAGCTGTTTCGTTAAAGTTCTATTGATTAGTTACATCGCAGATATTTTTAGTTTTTCTGTGTTCTGATTTTGTAATTGTTCGTGATAATCGAAAGAAAAAATAGTTTTGATTTTGTTGTGGTGAATAGCACTGGCAGATGAATCAATTTCCCAGTTATCCATATTTGTTAAATTGTTAATGCTGTTGCTCGTTGATTTGAGGGGGGAAAAAAAAGACGGCTGATTTTCTTTCTCTGCTGTCTCTTGAAAATTGTTCAGATGGACCAAACCCTGGGCAGCTCCTTCCTGTGCGGCCAATGTGGGACCCACAATCGGCTGAACTCGTCAAACCTCTGCCTCAGGTGCCGCCGCCTTATCCCCGACATAACGGCTCCCGTCCCGAAGCACGTGGACCTCGCCTACTGCCATCTGTGCGACAGCTACAAGCACCCGCCCTCGTGGACCCCCACCAAGCTCCAGCCCAACGAGCTCCTCTCTTTCCTTGTCAAGAACCTGCGCGGCCCAGCCGGGGCCCGCCTGGTCCACTCGGAGTTCATCTGGGCTGACGACCCACCGCGCCGCATATCCGTTCGGGTCAGAGTCACCTTCCGCATGGAAGGCCTCGACGGGGTAACCGTGCAGGCCTGCACTATCGTCTACGAAGTCCACGAGGAACCGTGCTGGACCTGCCTCCTGGCCCGACTCGACCAAAATGGGCTATCGGGCCTTGTGCACGTAACCTCTCAAAGCCCAAAAACCCTGCTCTCGTTAGAGCCTCTGCTCGACGCGGAGCGTCTCGCAGCCTCAGTTGAGCGTTTGGAAGGCCGCGCGACGTTTTCATTCGAGAAACGGGCCGATGCGCAGGACCTTGTGGCCCACCTGCAACGGTCGGCACTCGCCCGGGTTGTCCGAGACGAGCTTTACGTGTCCCCAGTCGAAATTCCAAAAACGCCCCTCCAAGCATACGCGGCTTCGGTCGAGGTAAGCCCGATTCGGGTGGGGGATCTCGTCTGCCTGCCGACTAGGACTTCGGCCCATCTCGGGAATCTCGGCCCGTTTGTGATCTGCGATGATGTGGGTGGGGATTCGGTGGCTTTTCTCGATCCGCTCGACTCGAGGCGGGGCTTCTTAGACACGGACAAGTACTGGAGATTTCCGTTCCGGGCCGTGATGTCGAGAGAGGATCTCGTGGAGTATGTGGTTTTGGATGTGGAGGATGTGTTTATCGACTACGGGTCGAAGAAGTATGTGGGGGAAGTCCGTGTGGCGCCTGTTTCGGGTTGGGGAGAAATCGAGATGAGCTTTGATGTGAAGACACATTTGGGGAATGATTTGGAGGAGGGGGATTATGTGCTCGGTTACGATTTGCTTGAGGCGGGTATTTTGGATAGGTATAGAGGTTTTGATGTCCCGAATGTCCCGAATGTCGTGCTTGTGAAAAAGAGCGATCGGGTAGAGGAGAACAACCCGGAAGAGGAAGAGGAAGAGGAAGATGAAGATAAGATTGATCTGGTAGAGGAGAACAAACCGGAAGAGGAAGATGAAGGTGAAGGTGAAGGTGAAGGTAAGGATTTGTGATCCTTTTGATCTGATATATGAGTTTTGGAGTGAGGAGATATTGGTGAAGTTAGGAGGAGAATACTCTATAGTTTGTGTGTTTTTTTGTCTTTTTCAGTTGTCATGTTAGTTTGGTGTAGATATCTTTTTCAAGTTTTTTTGACCATTTTAGACTCTCTAGTGGGGAGTCTTTACTTTCAAGTTTTTGTTTTCTCAGAATTTTTTAGTAGGTTTGGCTCTTGGGATTAATAATAAAGGTTAAATCGATATTCGTTTGTTTGTTATTTAAAGTACTCTCAAACCATTTTGACTTCAATCTATAATCTGTCAAGCAATTTGCACTTCAAAGTCCTATTAGTCAAAACATTAGTCAAAAGAAGAAAGACTAAAACAACCGCAAATTTTTAGCCAGTACAGTTGGAAAATCAAAGGCATTCTTTCATTTGTCATCTCTTTCTTTGTCATCTTTCTCGAGTGCTAAGAGGCATCAAGAACTTGCAGAAGTAGAAGTGATATAATAAGCTACGGCAGAAAGCGCATGAACCATACACGATATTCCCCCCCGATCGAGAGGAAGTGATGGTGCGTGAAGCCACACGAAGCTCAATATTATTATGCCTATCACAAGGGTCGACAATCCAACTGCCATAAGGATCCTGAAAAACATACATATGATTTTTCTAAACAGATCAATTATCAAACAGAACTTGGCGAATGCGATTCAGATGCAACATAATGAATAATTTTCGACAAGCTATCGACAATTGCTCGGCTCCTTACACTCGAATATCCATGGTCTCAAATGTTTTTCTTAAACCAAAAAATTTAAAAATCATATATACTTTTTTATCTTGTTACAGTACATAATTTCAATAAATTTGAACATATATATGCAAGTGAGATGAATACGTTTTATCTAATATTTTCCTGTCCTAAAGTATATATATTTTTTTTTTGGTGGACTCAAGAGTACAAAATAATTAGAAGATAACTGGTGCATTTGAATGTGTGAAAATATTCTTCTTTGTTATATATAATCATTGAACTTGAGCTGCCATGCCCTTTTCCCTTTTTTATAACCACATCATGAAATTGCTTTCATTATGCTTGCTAATTTGTCACCTTTGTGAACCAAGCAAACACTGTCATTTTTCTTTTTACCACAAACAATTAATAATTAATTATTTATGCTTTGTATTACATATATGGGAAGATGACAAAATGCAGTCATATTCTTGGTTGAGATATTCATAATAGTCAAATTGGGCAGAAGGAGCGTTTTTCGAGTGATTTTTAGGCGATTTTAGTGTTCTGATCGGACACGTCAGCATATTGGTCGGAAAATGGTTTTGAGACAAATTTGTAACACATAATAAATGTTTGGTATTTATTTACAATGATAGAATAGTTGAGTTTTATTTTCAATTACACAGCAATTAAGCAAATAGTCCCGCTCACCTGTCCACGGTGGGCAGTGCACACCACTTTGTTTTATATGAAAAACGTATTATGAGAATACGTTTTTCAATTAAATTAATTGAAAAACGTATTCTCAGAATACGTTTTTCATATAAAACAAAGTGATGGGCATTGTCCACCGTGGGCAGGGGATCAAAATTTATTAAGCAAATACCATAGTTGGATTAATAGTAGTGCGCTTCGAGTTTGTCTGTTAATATTAATACAAGTCTCGCACCCTGCCCGGCTGGAATTCGCCTTGAGCTTGCTCTTCTCGCCGGTTGGACGCGCAACCTGCACGAAACTCCCACACCGGAGGTGTTTTCCGGTGAAGAGCCTCCAACGCTCAAGTCAGATCTTGAGAGATAATATCAGTCTATAGAAAGGTGTAAAGTATATCAGATTGTCCCGAAAATGTGGATTCTCGCCCTTATTTATAAGGGCGAGTTACCTGTACTGCACGCGCGAGGCGAGTGCGTTCGTCTGACCATCCTCTGCTGGTCCGTACGGTCGCGCGCCCCCACTATCTATGATGTCAGAGAATGCGTCGCCTTTGTCAGAGAATATCAGAGTCGGTTACGGCTGTTGACCACTCACAATGCGCCGCGTGTCCTTCTCCTTATGTGCTGGAGATTCCCCCATGTGCTCCGATGCTCTACCAGTTATGTGTGTCTGTCTTCTCGATCGCCCTTTCTCGACGAGGTGCTCAGCTGAAAAGTTGAAATATGCTGGGCGTGGGCTTGATTGGACAATGCGGCCCAAAAGGCTTCACATAACCAAAAAGGGCCCAGAAGACTTTGACAAATCACATCACTTTTTATTCGAATTGGATCAATTCGTCATTTCCATATTGTTCACTTTTCTGCTATAGCGATGCCACATCAGCACCTCAATCGTCATAGATTTTAATTATCCATAATCCTTTGAATTTGATAACCGTCAATACTTTAATTTTAGATTTTTCACCAAAAGCTTAGTCATATGATTCTCTCGTCCTTCTTATACTTAGTTTCAACTCTAGCACAACGCATGTATTTTCGGCTATGGCTATCATTAAATCTAAATTTTGAAGTAAAATGAAAGATGACTTTCTTCTAATTCTTTGACTATCTTCGTTGAAAGGAAAATTGCAAGATCTGTTACTACTGAGTCAATCATCGATTGGTTTCGTGACCTGAGATAATGTTGAGCACAATTCTAAAGTTACAAAGTTTAAACGGTATGAATTTTATTGAACTACTTTTTTTTTCTTTTTTCAGTTCTAGAAATGCAATTTTGTCTTTTTAATGAAGCGTGTCTTTAAAAATTATTTAGTCCCCCAATTAAATTTTCTGTATCCGTCCTTCTTGATGTAATGCCCGATAAACAGTAAATGGGCTATCCTTACTATAAATAGTCTTAAGAATCACTTGTAAAAAGGTTCAGAGAATTCTCTTCAGTCAGGGCATATATTCTCTTATTTAATAAAACATTTAATACGGGCACTGGAGCTCCTAACGCCTGAATATGATCTTGTATTGTCACTTATTTTTTCGTATATTCATTATATTATACCGAATTTAAATTAGACAAAATATCATATTAACCATACTATCTATCATTATCGGTTGATCAAATACGTATACGTTGGTCTAACAATTATATATGACATACTTTTATTGATGTTATTTAAGCATGCAGATAACAATATTACTTATATTGTTCGATTGTGGATAAAATTAATTTTAATCATGCATGCTCTTGTTTTATTAATCTCAAACTATTTAAGAATTATATATCGCAAAGAAATTAATATGTTTGACAATATATACACAAATATATGTATTTTTCCTATTTTACCCTTAGTAGTGTTTTGTAATAGGATAAGTTGTTATTCATGTTGACAATTTTAGTTCATTATATTAGGACTATATATATGGGTTGAACACATCTCTTGTAACCCTAAGTTCATTATATCTAATTCACATCCGCAGCTTTGTTTCCCTCTTCAATGTCTCTCTAGATTTCATCTATGTTTTTCTCCAGATTCACTTGAATCTTGTTATGGTATCATTCGCTGGGACGATTTGATCTATTCTTCCGCATCTTTTTCATACTCTGATCTGTTTTCTCCTCTATAATCGATCCTTCAAAACCCTAATTTCAATCGCTAATGGCTGCTAATCCCTCTGATGATCCGTCTTCGGTCTACTTCCTTCATGCTAGCGACAATCCTGGTGCCTTAATCGTCGCCGATCCATTCGTCGACGACAATTATGTTTCCTGGAGTCGAGCAGTCACCATGGCGCTGAGTGTGAAGAACAAGCTTGGTTTCATCGATGGTACAGTCGCTACTCCATCTCCCACTGGTAATCCTTCTCTGTACCTTGCTTGGAATCGGGCGAATAACCTAGTCCTCTCATGGCTATTAAATTCAATATCTAAAGATATTCGCCAATCTCTGCTATTTTTTACAAATGCTAAAGATGTATGGGATGAGATTCGTACTCGTTATGCCATGTCTAGTGGTCCTCATGTCTTTCAGTTAGAAAAATCTTTGAGTAACATTGATCAAGGTTCTCTGTCTGTCACACAGTATTATAATCTTTTCAAATCTTTATGGGATGAGTATGTGACATGTAGGCCTTTGGTTAAGTGTACTTGTGGTGCTTTTGTTCATTGTACATGTGCTTTGTTTGAGGCAATGACTGCAGCACAACAGCATGACTCTGTAATGAAATTTCTGGTTGGCCTTCATGATTCTTACTCTTCTCTGAGAAGCCACTTTTTACTATCTACACCACTACCCACTCTGTCCACAGTATACTCCTTATTGCTACAGGAGGAAAGTCAACGATCCTTAACCAATAACACCCAAACATCTGATTCCCTTGCAATGCTCACAAAATCTCAAACCACTGATTCCCATGCTATGTTGGCAAAATCTCAAAATACTTCCTACAAAAATCCCAGACAATACTTTACCAAAGACTCCACTACAAAACCATCCTTCAACAAAGACAAACCAAAAACCAAGTGCATTCACTGTGGCTATTTTAACCATTCATCAGAAAGATGTTTTCAAGTCATTGGTTATCCTCCAAATTGGATTGGCCCTAAGGGTCCTAGAATACATCCCAACCACTCTGCACATGCTGCCATTGTTGATAACACTAGCACATCTGTCAATAATACAAAAGCTACCACTGACTCTGTTACTAATGAACTTTTCAATGAGTTTTTAGCTTTCAGAAAGTCTCAGGAAACACATAATTCCAATGTGCAAAACACCATGATCCCTATGGTGGCAACTGCTTATCCTGAGACTCAAGGTAAGTTCCCTACTTATTCTTGCACTGCTGCTAGACGTCTTTCTAAGCATACTTGGATATTGGATACTGGTGCCACAGACCACATGCTATGTGACCTATCTTTGTTTTCTGATGTTCCTCAACCTGTTCATACAAGGGTTAACTTGCCTAATGGTTCCCATACTACTGCCACTCATACAGGAACAGTTCATTTGTCTGATCACATTGTACTTAAGCATGCTTTGTTTGTACCACACTTTACATTCAATTTGA